TGTTCTACGAGGAGATGTCGCTGGCCGAGTGGAAGACGGAGTACGGGTCGGTGTCCGGCCGCTCGTCGCCCACTCCGCCCTCTGACACCTCATCGGCAACGCTGCCGCTGCTTGCCGAGGTCGGTGAGCACACTGCTAAGGACGTCGAGGACGTCCGCCCCCCTGCCCCCCCTCCTGCGATCCCCGCCCCTCCCCTCGTTGTCGATCTGCGTCGGCTGACCTCGGTGTCGGCCTCCGGCGATGAGGGGAGCAGTAGGACGTCGCCTTCGGCCAAGTGCATCGTCGGTGGCCGACGTGACGAGCGGCAGGGCAACCTGGGATTGCAGTCGACGTCGACAGGGGAGGAGCAGGTCGAGAAGCAGGTCGAGGACCAGTGGCCGACAAAGGAACAGGCAGCAGTGACGCCGACCAAGGAGCAGTCGGCGACCGGGCAGTCGGCAGGGGAGCCGACCATAGGGGAGAAGTCGGCTGGGACGCCGGCTGAGGAGCAGCAGGACGTCGAGGGCAGCGGCAACGATGGAGGGGACGCCGAGGAGGTCCAGCCGGGACCACGGCGTTCAGGCCGACTTCGGAGGCCGCCTGACTTCTTCGTCCCGGCTGTCTTTACCACGGTGTACGATGTGGACAATGACGACCTGGCGTATGACGACGCCAAGGAGGATGCGGAGTTTCCAGAGCTCGACCCCGACATGCTAGTCGACCCCGAGCACCGTTGGGACATCTCGACGATGACGGTGAAGGAGGCGTTGGCGAGCTGGAAGGGCCCGGCGGTGAGGGCCGCCATGGAAGAGGAGATTCGCAGCCTCCTCAACATGGGAACGTGGGAGTTGGTCGAACGCCCGCCGGGAGTGAACGTCATGAAGAACCGGTGGGTGTTGACGACGAAGTACCACGTCGACGACACCGTCGAGTGCGAGAAGGCGAGGCTGGTTGTGAAGGGCTTCACGCAGGCGTATGGCGCCGACTACGACGAGACGTTCGCGCCGGTGGGCAGCTACGTCACGCTGAGGATCTTCCTCAGCATCGTCGCTGTCCGCAACCTCAACCTGATGCAGCTCGACATGAAGAACGCCTTCTTGCAGAGCAAGCTCGACAGGGTGCTCTACATGTCCCAGCCAGACTACTTCAACGACGGGACCGGCCGGGTGTGCAAGCTGCTGAAGAGCCTGTACGGGCTAAAGCAGTCGCCGCTGCTGTGGTACTTGGCGCTCAACGACGTGCTGGTCGGCGCCGGGTGGAAGAAGAGCCAGGTCAACGAGGCTCTCTACTGCAAGGTCGGAGAAGACGGAGTGGCCTGCTGGGCTCTGGTCTACGTCGACGACCTACTCGCCGCTAGCAGTAGCGTTGCGATGTTGAAGGAGTTGAAGGAGCTGCTGGAAGCCGCCTTCGAACTGCGTGAGATATCGCCGGTGCAGAAGTACCTCGGGCTGGAGATCGTCCGCGACAAGTCGGCGGGGAAGCTGTGGCTGCACCAGCAGGGCTACGCCGACAAGCTACGAAGGCGCTTCATCGACGAGGAGCAGACCGGGCGCACCCCGAAGACGCCGGTCTCGGTCGACGCCTACGCCGAGCTCACGTTCGATGACGAGGAAGCACAGGCGCGGCAGGAAGAGGAGTACCGGCAGAAGGTCGGCTCACTGCAGTTCGCGGCGACGACGACGAGGCCGGATATCGCCTTCGCCTGCAGCAAGCTGGGGAGCGGCCTCACGGTGAGGAGCGACCAGCACTGGCGCGAGGTCGACCGCTGCCTCGCCTACCTCGCCAATACGCGCGACACCGCCTTGGAGTTCGGCGGTGGACCTGAGTCGCTGGAGCTGGTCGGCTACGTGGACGCCGACGACGCCGGTGACAAGCAGAACAGGACGAGCACGAGTGGATACGTGTTCGTCTATGGAGGGGCTGCAGTCTCCTGGTCAAGCCAGCGCATTAAGTGCGCGACGTTGTCGTCGACTGAGTCGGAGTACGTGGCAGCCACCGAAGCCGGCAAGGAAGGACGTCGACTTCGTTTCCTCCTTGCAGAGTTCCGGCAGCTGGATGCCGGGAAGCCGGCCGTCCTTCGGGTGGACAACAAGTCGGCTATCACAGTCGCCGAGGGCATGGGGTTGACGGGCAACCTCAAGCACATGGAGCGGCGACAGGCCTGGCTGCAGCACATGGTGAAGCGCGGGAAGTTCTCGCTGAGGTACATCCCGACCACTGAGCAGCCGGCCGATTTCCTGACGAAGGCGCTGCACTATCCGGCCTTCAACCGGTGCTCCGTCGCAATCGGCCAGGTGCGCTTGGCCGACGTGGGCGACGGCGACAACGACATGCAGCAGTAGGTGCCATGCCCTCTTGCATGGCTGGTGCGGTGGACGACGTGCTGTGTGTTGGGTGCACGTCGACGAGCTATTCTCCGAGGAGTACTGCCGAGTGGACTTGAGGGGGCTCAAGCGTGAACGCGGCAGGGGAGTGTCAACGGGAGTTGTGTGTTGGCCCCGTCCACGCTTGGGCGGAGCCGACTTCGTGGTCGGGTGTTAGGGGAGCAGCCGACCTGCAGCAGTGGGCGAGCGGGTCGACGAAGAGGTCGACTTGCACGGTGACCACTGCACGGGCGCCGACTTCGAGGTGGCGCCAACTTCGGGGAGGTCGACTTAAGCGTCGACCTGTGGAGGACGTCAACTTGATGACGTCGACTTGGGAAGCCGACTTCGGTGGTCGGCTGATGTGCTGGTCGACCTGCGACTGGTCGACTGGACCTGGTGGTCGACGAGGGAGGGGTCGACGTCGAGCAGTCGGTCGTCGAGTGACGCGATCGTCGACCGAGGGGTGTGGTCGACCTGGTGAGGTCGACATCGAGGTGGTCGTCGACTTGGGAGGTCGACGGACACGTACGGGAGTTGCTGGTCGATGAGGTTGCCCAGTCGACCAGGTTACCTGGGTGACGAAGTGCTGCGGAGGAGTGCGACGGTCGCCCAGACGAAGTTGGCGAGACCGACCTCGGTGGTGGTATCCCGAGGTCGACGTGGCGGATCAGAGGCAGCCGTCAGCCCGAGGCTGACGTGGTGTGTGTGCTGTGCAGGTGATGAGGCTCGGCATACCAATCATCTGCACGCATCTGCAAAGCGGGTGCACTGCTGGCACACCGTCGACCTGCAGCGTTGGCAAGCTGTCGACTTTGTGCTGCTGGAGCGCGGTCGACCAAGTTGTGCTGGCAGTTGACCAACCTGAATGCTAGCTCTGATGTAGTCTTGCCTTGCCAACTTCATTGTACCATTGTTGTCATCTTTTCTTAGTGAAAACTCTTGCCAAATTGCCCCGTGAACTAGCAAGCAGTGTTAGCACTAGGAAAACGTCTAAGGACCAACGAACGCAGAGATCACACGAGCACACGTGCCTAGCCAGTGCTCTAAGCTCCCGTTGTAGTAGTTATCTCCGCACTCCACAAACTTGACGTCACGACTGACCTGCATCCTCTTGCTCTTGGGGTCCCACATTAGCCACCCTTTTGAGTTAGGAGCCATCCCAAGATGGACAGCCCACACAGCAGCAAATTCCAGCTTGTGCCTCTGCTCCTTAGGCACCACCACAAGCCCCATGCAGCCCCACACCAACAGCATATCAATGGATGGCTTGTTCCCAAGCCAACGCTCGTACGGCATCCAATGCTTGTCGCAAACATGAGTCAAGACCCTGTTCTTGACCGTGATGACATGGCGAACGGCATCAGGCCAAAACTTGTAGGGCATCCCAGTAGCCACCAACAAGGTCTTAGCCGCCTCGCCAATGGTCCGGTTGGCACGCTCTGCAATGCCGTTCTGCTGCACTGTTCCAGGGCAGGTCAGCTGATGTCGGATGCCATTTCTCTTGAGGAACTTGGTGAATTCCGCTCCAAGAAACTCTCCACCTCGGTCGCTCCTCAGCACCTTCACCAGCCGCATTGCTTGCCGCTCCACCATCGGCAACCAATCCTCCTTGATCGCCGCTGCAGCATTGGTCTTCTTGGACAAGGGCCACGCCCACGTGAAACGGCTCCATTCGTCCACCATGGTAAGGAAGTACATCACTCCCCCAGTCCCCTCTGTCCTCATAGGACCCACCAGGTCCATGTGCACCACCTCCGATGGTGCCTTGGCTGATCCCTCCGCTCGTGGAAACGGGAACCGCGCAAACTTGTTTTGCATGCACGCCTCGCAGCTGCCACAGTGAGCGCCATCTCCTTGCCGTTGCAGCCCATGCACACACTTCTCCTTGTGCATCACCTCGAGTGTTGAAACAGCCACGTGTGCGAGCCGCCGATGCCAAGTCTCCCAATCCGCTTGGCCCGAGGTAGTCGATGCCTTCACCGCCGCACTTCCTCCAATCAGCTCCTCTCCTTGCACACCTTGCTGCTCCTCCTCGGTGACGCTCTCCTCCATAGATGCCGCCGCTGCCGCCTTGCCTGATTTCCACCAAGGGAGGACCGGGATCTGCAGCATGCGCTTGTGGACATCTCCCTTCCACTGCAGGTCCCAAATGAGGCGCTCATCGTTGTAGGCACGATTGCGCTCCGAGCCAATCGTCTCGGTGTTCACACCCGCATCTCCCAACCGGCCGGTAGAAATCAGGTTCGCGCACAAGTCCGGCACCCAGAGTACGTTCTTCAGCCCCACGAGCTCTCCATCCGCTCCCATGAACTTGGCGCATCCCATGCCCATGACCTTGGCCTTGGCGCCTGTCGCGGATGTGACTGTAGAGAAGGGTGCGGGCTGAATCTCATCAAGTAGGTCCGCACGAGGAGTCATGTGCCAAGAGCTCCCGGAGTCAATCACCCAATGGGTGAGGGGGTGTAGGAGAACCTTGGCAGCCATAGCGTGGCCGGTTGCGCCTTCGTTCATGAAGAAGAAGAACCCGGCCTTCCGCTCCTCAGATTTGCCGCCTTTCTCCTCATCCTTCTCCTCTCCACTAGCTCCCATGACTCCTCCACTTCTCGTGCCACCACGCTGGTTGCTTGATGAAGGCGGGGTCCAATCTTTGGGTCGTTAGTAGCACTTCCGCCAATGATGTCCGCGCTTCTTGTAGTAGAAGCACACCTCCCCTTGACCCCCGCCGCCATCCTCCTTAGGGTTATCCTTGTTCTTGCCCTTCCACTTCTTCTTGAAGCCACTCTTTCCACCTCCAACTCCATAGCCAGCCCCCTCCTCCGAACGCTCCACACTCCGCCGCCGCAGGTGCTTTTTTAGGATGCGCGCGCAAATGTAATCCATGCTCCATTGGGGTTTTTGGGAGTTGAGGTTGATCGCAAGGGCAGACCACGACTCCGGCAGCCGTATCACTATCTCCACGCATTGCACGAGCTCCGGGTACACCACACCGCCGCCTTGTAGCTTCGCGAAGATGTCCCGCATCTCATCCAACACCGGTTGCATCGGCTCTCCATCAACAAACTTGATGTCGCGTAGCCCCCGTGCGAGTAGCACGATGCCAGTAGCATGTGTCGATGAGTGCACATCCAGAAGCTTCCTCCAAGCCTTGGGGCCACACTCTGGATCACCCAAGAGGTCCTTGATGTGGTCAAGTTGTCGTCTGCCCACCGCTTGCACCATGAGCATGTACGCGTCGAACGATCGCTTCATCCACGCTCCTTTCAGCTCCGCGGCCTCCGGCATCTTCTCCTTACCCTCCACCAAATCCAATAGCTTGTATTGGGTATACATCAGCCACATGCGGAAACTCCAGTGCTCGTAGTCCTCCCCAATGAATTTCTCAATAGAGAAAGCTTTCACAGGGTCCACGGTAGTAAGAGATGGTGTAGAAGAAGTAGGTAGCGTAGGGCTGGCTGGTTGGTAAGTCCCCACTCCTCCACTAGCAACTTCCCCCTGCTCTCCAGCCTCTCTACTTCTATCCATATCGCCACTAGCACCTCCGGAGTTCGTACCAACGATATTGAGGCCTTATGAACGATAGAAACTTGAGAAATCGTATTGAGAGAATTCTTCCAGAAATTTTGATTCTAGAAAAATCGACGTCGCGGACTGGATACTTCGAATTAGAGCACGGTTTGACCACCAATCGAAAGTTCGCAAGCAGATATACTAGAAAATGGTCTCACTTGACAACATTGGTTGAGAATTTATGACGATTCGTCATCTCAAAGTCGACTACCCGCTCTGATACCACTTGTTGTTCAAGATCCGTCACTTTGAGAGCTTACGACGAACTCATTACTCAAATAAACGCAAATCTGCTCGGTAGGAAGTTGCGCCTTAGGCTTAGCTACTATCTTCAAGTTGAATCAGTCGTTAAGATGGTTTATACAGTGAGAACCAAGTAAAAACGTCCAGCAGCCGCATGACTAGTATGGTGGAGGAAGTACAAGCATTAAGGCATAGAAAGTTGGAGTTGGGGACTCCAAGAGAACCATGAGAGAGAAGAGGTTCTCCAAGAGCTAGGGAAGGATAGTAGGAACCTTCCCAGCAGCAAGGATATAACCCTCATCATGAGGTCTTTGAGGTGTCACACGCAAAATCCAATCTAGTTGGATTTTGCCTAGGTGTTGCAACATTTGCAACCCATGCTAGAAACTTCTAGCCACCCCGATCCAAAAGTCAAAGTTGTCTTCCTAACCACCCAACCATAGATCCCTTTATATTCATGTCCCAAGTAATCAACCAAATTAGATATAACCCCAAAAGGTAATAAGAAATCCAAATCTTGGAAATCTTGTAACTTGGGCGATCATGGTCGGAATAAGGCGATCTTGGTGTCGTTGGAAAGCTCTGGATTTGTCCTGCATGATCAAGCATTTAGACTTGGAGAAAAATACAGAGATGATAATATCTAACAGCCATGCACAATGACATACGCTCATGCAAATCATGCAAGCACAAATAGCACGAGCACTCGGCAGGACGCTAGGATGACATGCACTCAGAATGACGTGCATCCAACATGGGGAGGCTCAACGCATCTGCCTTGTTGTGTAGTCTGGGCTTGTAGACGATGTCGTGGTGGAAGTGAGTTTCCAAAAAGTCCACCCACTACACATGTCGTTGTGAGAGCGTCGGCTGCGAATTCAGATATTTGAGACTTCAGTGGTCATTATAAACTGTAGTCTTGGCTCCCTCTAGGTAACACCTCCACGCCTTGAAGGCTACGACTATGGCTAAGGATTATTTGTCATGGATGGGGTAGTTTAGTTCTACTCCGTGTAGCTTCTTACTAAGGTAGGCGATGGGCTGCAAACTGCGTCCGTGATCTTGCATCAGTACTGCTCCGACTGCTTGGTCACATGTGTCTGCTTCCACCACGTAGTCCTTGTCTGGATCCGGTAGGATGAGTTCGAGCGCTGTAGTCAGTGCTCTCTGTAACTGCTCCATGGCTTGCTGATGAGGAGTATCCCATTTGTAGGCCGTATCCTTTTTCAATAGGTCGGTTTGTGGCGCTGCTACCTTAATGTACTGTGGCACGAACCTGTTCTAGTAGTTGGCGAAGCCTAGGAACTGCTGCAACTCCTTCACGTTCTCCGGTACTTTCCACTTCTTGACGGCTTCGATCTTCCGCGGTTCCATGTGTACGCCTTTGGCACTCACCATGTGCCCGCAAAACTGCACCTTCTTCAAGACGAAGTCGCTCTTCGACAGCCTCACGTAGAACTTGTTTTTCCTCACGATCTCGAACATGTTCCGTAGATGCTCCACGTGCTCCTTCATGTTCTTAGAGTAGATGAGAACCTCATCCAGGTACACCACCACACATTCGTCCAACAGGGGCCATAAGATGTGATTCATCTCCGCCTCTAACGTTGCTGGTGCGTTGCAGAGTCCGAACAGCATCACCAAGTATTTGTAGGAGCCGTATGTGGTATGGAACGCCGTCTTGTGGACCGAGTTGTCTGCCATCTTGATCTGCAAGTAACCCAACCGTAGGTCCAGCTTCAAAAAGACTGTTGCACGACGCAGTTGGTGTCAAAATATGGTTACATATTTTATATAATCGTTTGCAGTTGTAGTGTACATATTGCATCATGTTTGGTGGTGCACCTCCTTGTGTTGCTGTTTACCTATTTGTACTTGCTATTCTCATTAGTGAAACCCCATTCCTCTCGACTTTCCTAAACTCACTCGAACTCAACTTCTCCTACCTCACTAGCCATGGCTCTTAAGCCTTGCTAGTATGTCGACAGTTGGTCCAGAAGGTCGTCTATGCGCGGTATAGGGTATTTGTTTTTTACTGTCTAAATGTTCAGTGCGCGGTAGTCGATGCACATCCGTAAACTGCCATCTGGTTTTGGAGTGAAGAGAACTGGTGCATCGTAGGGAGAGGTGGATGGGCGGATCAGTTGTCTGTCCAGTAGATACTCTATCTGTTTCTTCATGTCTGTCAGTTCGGTCGGACTCAGTCGGTATGGTGCATGTGAGACGGGTTTCGCACCTGGTTCCTCCACAATTTTGTGCTCGTGGGTGCGTGCTGGAGGTACTCGTGCGGGTAGGTTGTCGGGCATTATATCCTTGTACTGTTCCAAGACCTCCTTCACTGCTGCAGGTAGCTCCGAACTCAGCTTCTCCTCCTCTGCTGCTGCCATAACTAGTGCTAGGTAGCCCGTGTTACTCTCGTTCACCGTCCGTTCGAACCGTGCCAGTGTCGTTTCAGGAACGTTCACTGTATCCGTCCTGCTTCACAGCTCCACTCGTTTCCCGTTGTTGTAGATGCGCACCTTCCTGTTGATCCAGTCGATCTTGGGGTTGAACCGCTTCATGAAATCTCACCCCAAGATGAACTATAAATCCTTGATGTTCGTGATCTTCAATGTCGCCTTCCACCTCAGTGCCCCTATGTGCAGCTGCAGTGATGCTTCGCCGTGGATGGGAAGTTTCGAACCGTCCACCATCGTTGCTGTGAACATGGTCTCCTCCGAAGGTTCTCTAATTTTCTCCAACATCCCGTGGTCGCACACCGATTGGGACGCACCACTGTCCACTAGTGCCTGGAGGCGTTGCCCGTTGCAGACCACCTTGAGTAGTAGTGGTTGTTGCTGCTCTGAGTAACCGTAGATGGTCTTGTCAAAACTTATATTTGTAACTGCCTGTAGCTGTAGTTAGTGTAGTTATTTAAACTTTGTTTGGTGGTGCACCTTATGTGTTCCTTTGCTATATGTACTTCGAACCCTATAGTGAAAACACATTCTCCCAACTTCTCTTCCAACTCACTCGATACTCACCCTAGGGAAAACCCGCTCGACACCTAATCTCGGGCCTAGGCTCCTAAGCCTAGGCCCTAGTTTCAACTTAACTCTACATTCGTTCTTACTATTTGACATGTTATCAGAGCGACGTTCGTTCTGGCCTGTGTGCCCGCCTCACGTTTCCGCTGCTACGATTTTCCAGTCGCGCGCCTAGGGCGCGTGGCGATTTTTCCTTGTCCCGCCCCCGGTTGGCGTGTGACGCCTTCTCTGCCCGTCGCGCGCCCCGTGGCACGCGACGGTGCCCTTAACTGCCCGTCGTGCGCCCCGTGGCACGCGACGGTGCCCTGCTCGTCGTGCGCCCCGAGGCACACGATCGGGCCCTTTCACTTAAACTTACCCGTCGTGCGCCCCGTGGCACGCGACGGGCCTTTCCGCCCCTGCTCTCCCTGAAGCCGCCCCTGACCTATCAGCGCCGACACCGTTTAGCCGCTCTGCAGCTTTCTTCCTGCCCACCCCCTCCTCCATTGTCTCCCTGCAGCCGTGGGGAGGAGGGTATGGGGGTGGCGGGTGTTGGAGTGTTGGGTCGACTCTTTCCCTTCCCCTCCTCCTCCTTTCAGTCCCACCGCTGCAGCTGCCGCTGGGGGGGAGGGTGTGAGGGTGTGGGGGAGCAGGGGGAGTGGTACCGGGGTGGCGGGTGTGAGGCAACAAGCAGCCGACCCTCCACCTCTCCTCTCTTCCCCCCTTCTCTGCTGCTCCTGCAGCAGTGTGGGGGAGGGGAAGGAGGAGGGTGAGGAGATGGAGGGGGTGACCAGCTAGTGTCAGCCCGCTTTCATTACCTGCTCTTGCTTGCTTTTTATTATTTTGCATGTGTACACCTGCAGGTTGTATTCTGCACATACTCCTGCTGCAGGCAGTTATGGGGGAATGTCAAAACTTATATTTGTAACTGCTTGTAGCTGTAGTTAGTGTAGTTATTTAAACTTTGTTTGGTGGTGCACCTTATGTGTTCCTTTGCTATACGTACTTCGAACCCTATAGTGAAAACACATTCTCCCAACTTCTCTTCCAACTCACTCGATACTCACCCTAGGGAGGCAGTAGGTAACCAGGAACATGTATGACATGCATGGGGCGGGAGGGTAATGCGGGACATGTATGACATGGATGGGAGGTAAACACAAGCGGATGCAGGAGCATGCATGGCAAGGGGTGGCAAGGGATGGAGCGCTTAACCTGAAATCCCTGATCATTTTTCCAGGTTGTGAACACGCGCAAAAACAAATCAACCACATTCTTGTCCTTCATAACCTCCTTCATTTGTATGAGAATGATGACGTGAGTCTCATTGATGATGCCGTAAAGATAATGAAGCCGCCTTTCAAAGGACGGGTAGAAGTCTAAGGCATGGTCGGGAGCTTCCATGCACATCCGGTCCCGTGCCTCGATGAAATGAAGCTGAGATAGACGAGTGGATAGGATGAGAGAGCACGGGGGACAGTGAGAGGGAGCAGAGGGATGAGAGAGCAAAGGGGACAGCAAGGGGCAGCAGAGGGATGAGAGAGCACAGGGGACAGCAAGGGGCAGCAGAGAGATGAGAGAGCACAGGGGACAGCAAGAGGAAGCAGAAAGATGAGAGAGTAGACGGGACAGCAAGAGGCAGCGGAGGGATAAGAGAGCACAGGGGACAGCAAGGGGCAGCAGAGGGGCAGCAAAGGAGCAGCGAAGGGTGATGCCATGCTCGCCCTCATGAGCTTGAGTTTGGGCATGCCATGCCGGCGACAGATGGGTTGCCCTTCTGCGGGTGTGCTTTCTGCAACTTGGCTGGGATCGGTGCCCGATGAGGATGGGCCGGTTGACAACGATCCCAAAAGAGGCATCGGGGAGGGGAGGGTGCGGGGTTTGGGGTTTCTAGGGCAGGTCTTCATGTCCGCGATTAGGGTGTTCACTCGTTCCGACTCCCACGTAAGGTCTTCCACACTCCTGGGTGCAGCCATGCGTAGCCTACCGGATGCACCAGGAGAACCCATGCTCTCGCTCCTCCCCTCCTTCATTAACGCCTCCTTTTTCATGCGGTGGTGGTCTGCACCTGCGTCATGGGCATCCCACTGTGCATCTGCTCCACCTCCATCACATTCCCCCAGCGCATTAGCCCAACCACCCCATCATTGGCAGTCGAGTCGCCATTCCGCTTCGTCGCCCTTTCGACTTTGACGTGAACCGATGGCCCCCGAACCTCCGTGCCCTTCGCAGGTGGGTCATTTGATTCCTTGGCATGACGCCAAGATCCTTGTGGCATCTGGTCTGTTTTCTTCCCATCCGATAGTGCAGGCCCTCTTAGTGCACCGTATGGGTCATCCCGGACCTCCCGCTTCAGCCTTGCTTTATCTTTCCAATCAAGAGAGCTAGTTGGAGCTGCCCTGGCTATTGCGCCCATCTTTGCATAGAAGTCGAGCTCGCGCTTGAATGGGAGGTGCATATTGTCAATCCTAGCTTCGCCCTGAGCACACTCGCTCCTACCATGCCTCTCCTTACGACGACCGCGCTTCCTACCACTTTTGTCCTGTCCCCTCTCAAAGCTTTTCCTTTCGCTGCAATTCTTGTACTTCCGACCACTCCTCTTCTTCAATGGACACTCTTCCTCTGCATCAGCGCTCTCTGGCTCCAATTCCTCCTCCTCGCTCCCTTCCTCCCCCTTGTCCTCATACACCTCCTCACTATCGGATGAATTGCCCGATTCTTCGTCACTGGAAATAGGGGTTGGGAAAGGGGGAAGAAAGGCAAAGTTAGGGAAAGAAAGGCAAAGTGAGGGAGCGAGGGGCCGAGAGGGAAAACGATGGGGAAGAGAGAGGAAAGGAGGGGCCGAGGGAGGAAAAGAGGGGCTGAGGGAGGCAAAGAGGGGCTGAGAGATGGAACGAGGGACATAGAGAGGAAAGGAGGGGAACAGAGAGAGGGGATGGAGTAGCAGTTAGAGGGAAGGAGAGGATGAGAGAAGGGACTGTTGGTTTAAGGGCCTAAAAAACTCAAGCTATTAGGACTTTATCAAACTTAGAACCTCTCCTCGGGGTCACCTCCAAGGGTCCTTGGGTGCCTGGTACAAGACCAGCCCCTATCCTCGGGTCCGAGTTTGTAGAGAGAGGGATCAAGAGGGACTTAGTCAAAACAGCAAGAGTACCTTGAACGTCGCGCAGCATATCGTGAAGACCGTCGATCAGATTAAGCTGAGAATTTCCTATATCGAAGCTCACTCTAAGAGCTTTAAAATAAGCCAAGTTGCCTCGCAAAAAGTTCTGCCATTACGAAGTTATGGCTCGGACAGCGTTAGCCTAGCGTTGGAGTGCTAGCATACTAGCGTTGACTCGGGTAGCATTCCGCCGTCGCACCGCGTAGAAAGGGAATTCCAGCAAGGAAGGAATTCGCTTGAATCATTTTTAAATATATTCAGGTACAAACAGAGAAGGAATATATAGTCCTAGCTAGCAAGGACCTTGGGAATCAACCTGGGAAGAACCAGGAATGATCCCAAATAATTCCAAGCAACAGAACCAACCTGGCTGGACAAAACAGCAGGTGGTAGGTTGGTAAACAACCTCTGGTTCTGTTTTTCCAACCTGGGAAAACAACAACCAGGTTCAGGTCCTAAAAACAGAACCTGTTTTGTCTTTGCCCAACCAGCAAAATGCTAGTTCCGCTGGTTTCTCCTGGCCCTATAGCATGCAGATACAGACAAACAACATCCAACCTTCACCTAAATTGTACCTCTATAGTGCCTGCCCTGCTACACTATATTCAACCGAACAAAACAGTACAATTTCGAGTTGGATAGAACTGAATCTGCACAATCAATTCAACCGAATTGCAAAGCTTCCATCCTGGGTTCCTTTGCGAGCTCGTCCTTTCTGCTTGTACTGTTTATAGCGCGTACAATGTTGTGCCGAAGCGCATAATGCGCTAGTACCTGCAAATGCTTCAAGCGAGAATTGCGAAAGCAAACAAACACACCAACATTCCATTCACACCCAAATGCATTCGCACACGCATACTCATACAAACAGACAGCAGGATGTCGTGCAATGTGAATTTGCACCCAACATACTCCCCCTCAGCCTGCCGGTTGCATCCCCATTATTCCATACTAGTTCATGCTCATTCCACTCATCCGCACACAACGCCAATGAGGCTCATCCGCAAGCCTCTTGGTGAGGAAGTCTGCTGGCTGCTGGTGAGTCTTGATGTAGATCGGATTCACCGTCCCCCTCTTCACCTCCTTACGCAGCCAGTGCCACTTGATACGCATGTGCTTGTTCAGCCCATGAAGCACAGCGTTCCTGGCCATCCCAAGAGCTCCCTTGCTATCACGAAACAGCGGCGTAGCAACCTTTTGCTCCTGGCCAATCTCCTCTAACAGCCTCCTTAGCCAAATCACCTCCTTCACCCCATGGAACATCGCCATGTACTCTGATTCCACGGAAGAGAGTGCTGTCTCCGTCTGCTTCTTTGACCTCCAACTAAGAGGTCCTCCTCCAACTACGCAGATGTATCCTCCCACAGATGAGGAATCCTCCTTCTCAGAGGCCCACGTAGCATCAGTAAAGCAAGTGAGAAAAAGCTTGCCTTCTCCAAGCCTCTCCCCCTTCTCTTTCAGCACCTCAACCCCTTTCTGATTCACCTGTGCAGATGCGGAGTATTGAACTCCAATGCTTGGGTGAGAGTTCAGATGCTTTACCACACGCTCAGCTGCATCCACCTGCTCCTCTGATGGATTCTGCACCACCCTAGCCAGCTGCCCAACCGAGAAAGAGATGTCGGGCCTCGTGTGAACTGCTGCATACAAGAGGCTGCCCACCAAGGACTGAAATCGCTGCTGCTCCTCGGCTTCAACCCCTTCATCCTCTGCAGCTTTCACAAGCTTGAATTCTGCTGGCAGCAGAGTTGCAACCTTGCGCTCATTCTCAATCCCGTACTTCTCCCCAAGCTCCTTGATGAACTTCTCCTGGTGCAGCTTCAACCACCTGTGATCCAGATCCCTCTCCACGTGCATCTCGAGGTAGTACTTTACCTCCCCAAGGTTCTTGTACTTGAAGTTCTCCATCAGCTGCTGCTGCACCTTCTGGATCTCCTTCATGCTGCTGGTAAAGAGAAGAATGTCGTCCACATAGACCAGAAACAGCACCAACTTCTCCCCCTCCCCCTTGAGAAAGAGGCTCTTATCACAGGTGCTGGTCCTGAATCCCACCTCCTCTAAAACAGCTGCCAACTTCTGGTACCAGCAGCGTGGCGCCTGCTTCAAGCCGTAGATGGACTTTTTCAGCTTGCACACCCTGCCCGTACCATCCTCATACCCAGGTGGCTGAGTCATGAACACCTCCTCCTCTAAAATCCCATTGAGGAACGCCGTTGATATATCCATCTGAATGATGAATTTCCCACTAACGCTTGCATCTGCCAACAAGACACGGAGGGTAGGGGGTTTGGCAGTGGGAGCAAAGATCTCATTGAAGTCCCGCTTCTCCTTCTGCATAAACCCCTTAGCCACCAGCCTGCTCTTGTAGATGGTTACCTGTCCCTTGTCATCGGTCTTAATCCTTAGCACCCACTTGCACTGTACGGCTTTCTTTCCCTCAGGCAGCACCACCAGCTCCCATGTCCCATTCTCTAGCAGGCTCTGGTACTCAGCATCCCTGGAAACCAGCCACTTCTCCCTATCTGGTCCAGCTAATGCCTCCTCCATGCTAGCTGGTTCCTCTGGTGCAGGGGCAAGGAAACAGTAGGCAGGTTCATCCTCCTCATCCAGATCATAGCCATGCGGTAGAATCAGCAATGCCTCCTCGGTCCCAAGCTGCTGCTCCGCTACATCAGCTCCTGTAGTCAGCTTCTTAGTGGCCATACGGGTACGTCCTGGCCTGGAGACGGGTGTCTCCTATCCCCTCATAACAAGACCCTTCGGCTTCTTAGTTTTTCCCTGCTGCTGCTCTCCTCCCTCGGATCCAGCAGCTCCACTAGTGCTACTGCTAGTCTCCACTCCATCACCTTCACCAGCAGGTGCCTCCTGCACCTTCTCTCCATCACCACCCTCTGCAGCTGCCTCCTCTCCCTCCTCCCACACACTAGGAGTCAGGTCCAGCTGCATGGTGATCTGCTCCATTTGCAGGGACACCCTGGCCTCTGGCTGTTTCTCCCAGCTCCCATACATCATGCCCTCAACAAACTTCATATCCCTGCTGTCAAACAACACACCCTTGGAAGGTTCCCACAGCAGCCATCCCTTGCTCTCAGCAGCCAGCCCCAAATGCACACACCAGATTGCACTCGCCCCCAACTTACTGCGGTAGGTCTTGGGGACGTGGGCGACTGCCATGCAACCGAACACCCTCAGCATGTCCACCGGCGGCTTCCTCCCAAGCCACCTCTCCAACGGCACCCACGAGTCATCCCCAACCTTTGTGAGTACCCTGTTCCTAGCGACGGTAGCGTGCCGAACAGCATGGGGCCACATGGAGTTGCCAAGCCCAGATTCTATGAGCAGCGCCCTAGCTGTCTCCAGAATTGTCCGGTTCGCCCATTCTGCTACACCGTTAGACTTTGGGGTGTAAGCCGTGGTCAGCTCCCTCTGGATGCCCTGCTTCTTGAGCCAGGCCGTCATCTCAGCTCCAAGGAACTCACCACCCCGATCTGTCCTAATCCGCTTCACCACACACTCCGCTTGCTTCTCCACTAACGGCAGCCAATCATCCCGAATCGTAGAGGCGGCGTAGTCTTTCTGCTTCAGTGGATACGCCCACATTAGCCTGCTCCAGTCATCCACTATGGTTAGGAAGTACCGCTCCCCCTTGTGCCCTTGCACCGGCAGCGGCCCCACCAAGTCCATGTGGACCAGCTCCAACGGCTTTTTGCTCCTGCCAGCCACACTATGGAAGGGGAAACGGGTCAACTTTGAAAGGAGGCAGATTTCACAGTTATCATCGGGTGGTTGTCCGTTTAGCTTCAAGCCCTTAACGGCTCCATCCTTCTCCAGCTGCTTCAGCAAAGGCATTGCCACATGCCCCAAACGTCGGTGTGCAGTTGCCCAATCCGTCTCCCCAGATCTGGCCGATACTTTCACACCAACCCCTCCAACGGCGTTGCACTCCGCCTGGGATGCAGACCCCTCTCCAGCCTGCCCCCCACCGTGCCACGCCAGCGCCGGCAGCTGCCACATAGATCTGTACACGTCCTTGCTCTCGTGCAGATCCCAAAGCACCCGATTGCCCAGCTGCCCCTTGTAAGTGCGTGCCCCATCCGTGCTAGTGCTTACCCCAGCCTTGCCAAGCTTACGGAGGGAGATGAGGTTGGCCTTGAGTTCAGGAACAAGGAGAACATCTTGCAGCACCACCGGCTTGCCATCCGCTCCCTTAAACGCAGCTCGTCCCGCACCAGCCACCTTCAGCGCGTGTCCAG